ATATTATATCGTTCATTATCGCCACTGTAAATCAGACATCAATAAAATGCACCCAAACCCCAGCAACCCTCTTACTGTGTCGATAATTGGTCCCGGAGCGCATTTAGCGCGCCCCTTGTCACGTTAAGGCAAGAGCCGTTACGTGGCGTCTTTACGTAAATATTCTAGTGATATGAATGATATCAAAGAATCGATATAATCTAGTATAAACGCTTTGTGTCGTGAATATTGATTGAAGAAAATGTCAAAATTTTCATCGGACATCGTAAATATGTTTGTCTCAGAACACCGCACTAAGCTCATGTGGCTTCCAATCCATCTTCGTCGGCATACTTATATACTTTCTGCTCTCTGCTGCATCTTATTTAGTATATCCAGTCCTCCTTACCTCATAAAACGTTTCTAATTTCTCAGCTCTTCTCATAACTTTTTCCCTTCGGGCCATAGAAAATCTTTGGGTTGGGTTTAGAATCAAGTCGTCTGAATTTGAGGAGTCTGTCACTGTGGGGTGGTCAAGGGGGCTTATCTCAATCGCCACCATGCAATTTTAGCTGCCGCAGCTGCGTCGAAATAATTTATATAATTTTCTAAAAATATTCATAAATCACTAATTAATACCTGAAGCGGAACTTTTGAATTTGACAGTAATCAGTAACAGATATACTTGACCAAAGAGTATATAATCGCTACGTTTATACTTGACTTCGCGACTCGCGTCATAAGCGTCATTCCGTTGCCTTCGAATTTACGTGAACGTGCTCCTTATTTTTATTATCTGCCTCCTGTTTTTGGACGACTTCACTACCCCTCTGGAGACCGATTGCTTGCTAATATATGACGTATTTGCAAATGGTGGAAGTTAACATTTTGGTGTTTTATTGGGTGCAAGAGCGAGCGAAGCGAGCTCGGGACTTGGGGCACCCCGACTCGGACAGGTTAGGTTAGAAGGGGATGGCGGGGTCGAGTGAGCGAGCGAACAGACCCCTCCATCCCCTCCTTGGTTATTTTGTTATAATCCATCCAGAAATAGGAGCCCCGCAAAGCGGGGCTCCGTCGACCGAGCTTCCCTCTGCTGCGCCACGTTGAGTGGCGTTGGGCTACCCTCCCGCAACTCTCTGCCCCCACAAATCAGGTTTATATTTTCAAAAACATTACGAAAACATAACCTCAAAATGAGATTTTTAAAAATTGATAAAATAAAACTAAGCACGTCCGGCAGGAAATGGAGGTAGGGGGTGACTCTACAACTCCCCTGCTCCTCCCCCCACTACCCCCACCCTCAAATTCAGGCGACTTGATTCTAAACCTTACCCAAATCTTTCCCTTTTATATCCCTTACACTCCTCTACTTTTTACAGTAAATCTTTTTCAGTTCTTGGAATCAAGCTTTGCAACTCTTTACCACTAACTATAAAACGTGCTCAAATTATGGACTCCTGTAAAAAGCAACTTAAGAAACATTATCGTATTATCGTAAGGTATATATAACAGTCGGTGACGCACGGTACGCACGGTAGTGAACCGCCAACTATCTATTTGATGTGGATGGAATATACAGTTCTGTTGCAGTGTACGATTGTGGAATTCAGTAACTAGCATCAATCAGAACAATGCCTCCCAGAGTTATATCTGACAGAAGATGCACAGAGGTGCAACATCACTTCGCAAGGCCAATGGATCAGCCCGATCGGAAAGAACTTTTACGACGTGGTAGAGCCATGCTACAGCCACGACGTGGTGGAGCCATGCTGTAGCTATATTATGGTTGTAGCACGAATGGGTCGGCTCGGCCGTGGAAGCACCACGCTCTCACAGAATACCAGCGTAAAATGCCAGCTTGACACTGCTGTGTTTCGTATGGTGAGAGTAGAGAACCGGAGACCCATTATACTGGAAAAGAGGCATTCCATCTTAGTCCCCACGGGTGACTACGCATCTGCATTTTGATTCGTAATCGAATATAGATGTAGATGTCTATGGGCCGCAGCAACCACTTACCATCAGGTGGACTGTGTGCTCGTTTGTCACCCTTATCCTATAAAAAAAAACTTGGTCGGCAAATTTCTTTGAAAATACTGTCTCGTTGGTCTCGTTATCGTAAGTGCAACTGCTGCACATTAGACCCTGGCTTCGGATCCTGAACCGGATCAAAATCAATTATTGTGTTTTTCTGTCGAGAAATTTCCACTAGCTGCTCGGAGTCAGGAAGTTAGCTGTGAGAAAGTGAGGGAATAAAGAGTACATCTGTGCTTGGCCGTTGATTTTTTTTTTGGATAGGGTGACAAACGAGCACAGAGTCCACCTGATGGTAAGTGGCTGCTGACGCCCATAGACATCTACATTCATCCGTATCGTTAGCGAATCAAAATACAGATGCGTCGTCACCCGTGAGGACTAAGATGGAATGCCTCTTTTCCAGTAAAATGGGTCTCTGGTTCTCTACACTCACCATACGAAACACAGCAGTGTTAAGCTGCTATTTTACGCTGGTATTCTGTGAGAGCGTGGTCCTTCCCCGGTTGAGGCGAACCATTCGTGCTACAACTATACTACTAATATAGATGCAGCGTGGCTCTACCACGTACGTGAATGACCGCCGGTAATTCGATCTAGATAACATTATTACATATTTATCGATACACTCTTTTAGTGGTTAAGTACATCCCTATATCCCAGCAAAGAAAAAAGTCAAGTGTAATAGGTTCGATTTTCAGTATAATTATCATCAACACTCGATTTTCCAATAATTCCGCTTTTATACTCATTAGTGCTGGGCGTTATATAAGTAGGGTAGTAATTTATTGACAATGAAATACATCGGGATAGGTACTTGTGTATATTAACTTTCAAGACATTGATTGATAAGTCACGTACCCAACTAATTCATTCATTACAATCTATCAAAACTCCACTGCCGAACATAGGTCATAGATAGATAGATAATAGATAGCCTTACAGTAGTTTTTTATAAAAAATAATTATAACTATTAACAAAAAGTAAAAACCGACTTCAAGTTGATAAAAAAAGAAGTTATGTATTTGCTATAAAAGAAAAGAAAAGAGCCCACTCCTTTTTTAAAAGCTGGCAACGCATCTGCAATTCCCATGGTTCCCCTGGTGTTGCAATTGTTTATGGACGGCGGTAGTTACATACCATCAGGTGAGTCGCATGCTCGTTTGCCACCTCTTCTATAAAAAAAGTCCTTAATGGTGGAATTTTTTCTTCAAATTCATACGTAAACTCTTGAAGTACCTATTTAATAACAAAATAATCATTAAAATCAGTTCTCAATCTGCGAAGATATTATATGGAATTCCTTAAACAATAGTTCGATATGAAACTTTTTCCCCTATTTTACACCCTTGGCGCGGAAGTTTTTCTTCAAAATTTAACGGGACCACCCTTGAGTAAATAGCCTATTTAATAAAAAAGAATCATTGAAATCGGTTCGCAATCTGCGAATGTACATCATACAAAAAAGAACATTCACTCGAATTGAGAACCTCCTACTTTTCGAAGTCGGTTAAAATACCCCGCACTAAGATTTTCTACTGCATCCAGCCATACAAAAACTTGTTCCGTACGGAAGTCGAACCCGCGGCCCGCAGCACTGAAACTCTGCTAAACCATTGCACAACGGAGCCTCCATTTAGAGTAATTTATGTATTTATTTATTATATGGATAGCATAACAGTTAACAAATCAAATTACATTAAAAAAAACATTTATATAACAGTTCTGTACGAAATAACGAATCGTTTTTATCCTAAATACACATCCCATACACATAAACATCATTTTAACCCATTAAATGAAACTAATTTTTCACACTGCAGACTTGTGAATATGTTCAAGATATCCCCGCCATTACATTACATTTGATAGACCACAAATCCTCGCAAAAGAATACCGAATCCTACCAAGGATGATTCGCGAGGCTATTGAGATTAAAAAACATCATAATTTCAATAGAGTAGATGGATGGGTGCTGCCATCTGCTTGGGATACTATAATTAATAAAATTAAATCCAAACCCAAGCATACCACTGCAAGACTTCAAGATACTGTAAGCTCATTCTGTGTAGATCGGACCAAAAAAGTTAATATTCAAAAACTGAAGGTAGCCGGGCTAACTATGACATCGGAATGTCAAACACCTCAGTCCCCCACGTGACCATGGGTGTTGTAAAGCACCCGAAACGGCGGGAATTTAAAAGTTAAATTAAACGCGATAAAACCCGTAAAAAACTGTTTTATTTAATGTGTAGTCTTCGCGTAAATATATCATTAAGAAAGAAATCATTATTTTTAACCCATTTCAAAAAAAGGGGAGGTACTCAATTCGACTGAATTTTTAAAGCGAAAACATCTTTAGCAGCGTTGAGTTATTTTTGGTAAGGGAAAAACTCTTGGATTCTCAATACGTCACGAGCACATCGATGGCCCCAACGAATAAACGTGCAAGAGCTCTTACCCAAATTTTTTTTTTCGTATTTTTATTTTGAATATTTTAGACTTCGAATAAGCCTTTTATAGCACAATATTCCTTTATTGTACCGAAAAAAATATTTACATATCACATGAATAATAAAACATGCGCTTATTGCCGATTATTAGTTTATTTGAGTTCACGAGAATAAACGTGTTAAATCAATCTGCCGCTCGTGTCTATCCTTTCCTTTGGGTAATAACTCTTGCATGATTTTTCGTGTAAAAACGCAAGCGACTTTTATCAGTAATGCCTCATTGCAGGCGGCAAAACTTTGAATATAATAATTACAGCTATGCTATTGTCTTTTAACATTTTCTCTTGTTTTTTCTACTTTTGTAAAGGTTTAAGCCCTAATATTATTCGATCATGAATTTGAAGTTATTGGTAGTAACCGTTTAATAAACGGATACTTTCCCAATAGTGTCTATTGCAATCGCTCGTTACAAAAGGGGCGAAGCGGGGGCGGGGTATGTAAGATGCGCGTGACATCGCTAGACTCCGGAAGGTCAGTCCGGATGCGAATTTGCTCGAGTTATTACGTAATTTCGTTTGTTTACTGAGCACATGCATTGTTGTTAATATTCATATTAAATTATTAATGAGTGATAAGTATAATTATGAATAGACACAGAGGTACTTCAAGTCGTTGCAGAAAGATATTAAAATTGGTGAACTATAGGATACACGGTATGTACCTACATATTATTGATTAACTACTTTTGTAAGTAAGAGGATACACACTTTAATCAATGGAAATTGGATTCTTATTATTCTTTCCCTTTATAACAACTTTATAACAACCTTTTTAGTTAAATGTAATAAGAACGAAAATCACCTGACACCGGCACCGCGCGGCGGTTGCCTATTATTTAGCTCATTTATTGTCTTATGTATTATGTAACTATTCTCTTTAGAAGGATTATTTGCTTTTACAGGCTCAGCTGATATTGTATCGAGTAAACATTTTTTGATCCATGTTAAGTACTTTTTTTTCAGACAATATTATTAATGAAGATGACAGTAGTATTGAACTTGAAGAACAAAATGAAATTAAAGGTGAGGATGATGAAACTTTTTCTTTGGTTGTTGGTTAGATATAATATATATTATATATATATTTCAAACTTACCAAGGGCTGCGTGGGGGTGAGGGGCTGAGTGTAAATGAAGTAAATAGTTATTGAAAACATAGTAATGTAGTCATTTGAGTAATTTGTTTCAGAAAATTTCACATATCTTTCGCGAAGTTCTTTCCCCATTGATGGCATATCAGACCTCAAAGAAGTCAACTCAGAACCTGATGATTTTATTACACCGGCTCCATTAATAGTAGTAAATGTATCTCCACATGATAATAATACCTCACCACCAAATGTACCAACAAATGATATTTTAGATATTTCTCATAATGTTATTGAATCATTACTACCTGAAATGGAATACCCTACTCCATTGCAATCTGTAAATAATAATGATGATTTACAGACTACTGATAATTCTATTGTAATGACTCCATCAACCCAACAAAAAATAGATTTTATAGCCACGCCGACTGTTTTATACATTAATAATGATTACGATCTAAGAAATATTTCCGACTTAGAGGGTTTTTTACATAGTATTGAAACACAAAATATATCACAGGATATTGTAACTACAGAATCGGAGGAAAGACCCGTCACTCCTATAGAACCGCTTACGAAAAAGAGAAAAATAGATCCTAATTTATGGAAAGATCGCAAAAATAAAACTCTTAAAAATTCTGGTAAAAGTTATGAAAGTGTTAGAACTAAAAAGCAAAACGTAGAAAAATCTATAGGTCCACCATGCAACTGCAAACTGAAATGTTACGAAAAGATACAGCAAAATATGAGGAGTAAAATTTTTCAAAATTTTTGGGCTATCGGGGACCACGAAAGACAATGGGATTTTATTAACCACCATGTAAAAAAAGAAAACGTCAAAAAAATTACAGTTGAACGTAAAAATAATCGTACTCAAACATTAACATATCAACTTTTCGATGATACTAATTCCATGATTAAAGTTTGTAAAACTATGTTTTCAAGTACCTTGTCTATTACACAGCAAGTAGTATACACAGCTATTGATAAATTGGGAGATGACAATTATTTAAAAGATTACAGAGGAACTCATAAGAATAGGCCAAGAAGAATGTCAGAAGAGACTGAGAAAAGTATAATTGACCATATAAATCTATTTGAAAGAGTTGAATCACACTATACTCGTAAAGATAGTCAAAAGCAATATCTGTGTGAAACATTGAATGTCTCTAAAATGCACCGACTATATTTAGAATGGATAGATGCAAACCACCAGTACAATCAAACATGCAAAGCAACTAAACGGCAGTCATCATCATCATTCATCATTACAGCCCTTCACAAGTCCACTGCTGAACATAGGCCTCCCCCAAAGAATGCCACAAAGCACGGTCCTGAGCACCTGCATCCATCGACTTCCTGCATGTCTTACCAGGTCGTCACTCCATCTCGTGGGGGGACGCCCTACACTTCGCCTATCGGTACGAGGCCGCCACTCGAGAACCTTTCTTCCCCATCGGTTGTCGGTTCTTCGAGCTATATGGCCGGCCCATTGCCACTTCAGCTTACTAATCCGTTGGGCTATGTCGGTTACTCTGGTTCTACTGCGGATATCCTCATTCTTAAGTTTATCACGCAGAGAAACTCCGAGCATAGCCCTCTCCATAGCTCGCTGAGCGACCTTGAGCTTCCTCATCCGGCCAGCAGTGAAGGACCACGTCTCAGTTCCGTAAGTCATCACTGGCAACACGCACTGGGTGTACAGTCTCGTTTTCAAGGTTTGAGGTATACCTGACGAGAAGATGTGCCGTAATTTCCCGAACGCTGCCCAACCGAGTTGAATCCGTCGATTGACCTCTCGGTCGAAGTTGGACTTACCTAGTCGGACTATTTGTCCCAGGTAAACATACTCGTCAACAACTTCGAGCTTAGTGTTCCCAACAACTACCGGCATAGGTGTGACATGGACATTAAACATGATCTTAGTTTTGTCCATGTACATCTTAAGACCTATCCGTTGGGAAACACTATTGAGGTCATTGAGCATAGTGCTTATAAGGACTATATCGTCGGCAAATCGAAGGTGAGTGATGTACTCGCCATTGATGTTGATACCGTATCCTTTCCAGTCCAGAATCTTGAAAACGTCTTCCAATGCAGCGGTGAAGAGTTTCGGGGATATGACGTCACCCTGTCTTACACCTCTCTGCAATTGGATAGGTTTCGTACTCTGGTTCTGTACTCGGATAGTCATCGTAGCCCTACTGTACAAGCACTTCAACACTTCGATATACCGACAGTCAACTTGGCACCGCTGAAGGGACTGCAGCACCGCCCAAATTTCGACGGAATCAAAGGCTTTCTCATAGTCCACATACGCCAGACATAGTGGCAAATTGTACTCTTCGGACTTCTGTACAATTTGCCGAAGGGTATGTATGTGGTCTATGGTGCTAAAGCCCTTTCGGAAACCGGCTTGTTCGGGAGGCTGGAAGTCGTCAAGTCTGCGCGCAAGACGATTCGTAATGACTCTCGAAAACAGCACGTAGACGCGGCTCAGAAGGGAAATCGGTCTGTAGTTCTTCAAGAGAGCGTTGTCACCTTTCTTGAAGAACAAGACCACCGCACTTCTGCTCCACGCCTCCGGTGTAATGCCACCATGGAGGACGGAATTAAAGAGCCTCTGAAGGACTTCAAGTACCGGTTTTCCACCCGCTTTCAGAAGCTCCGCTGTAATTCCATCTGTAATTCCATCCTCGCCTGGGGCCTTACCGTTTTTAAACAGCAGTATGAAATAATATTTAATACGAAGTTTAACCTATCCTTTCACAAACCTAAAAAAGATTTATGTGAAATATGTTCAATTTACCAAACTTCTGATGATGTTAGAAAAGAACAGTTAAAAACTGACTATGAAAAGCACTTGAAAGAAAAACAAATGGTAAGGCAATTAAAGGAACAAGAAAAGGAAAAATTTTGTACAGGTGACAGTGTTGTAGCATGTTTTGATCTGGAAAAAGTGTTAAATATCCCCCAAAGTGAAGTAGGCATATTTCATTATAAACGAAAGTATCCTGTATACAATTTCACGATTTATAATATCTTAGAGAAGAAAGGTTACTGCTAAGTCTGGCATTGTCAAATTGCGAAAAGGGGTGCGATAGAAATAGCTAGTTGTCTTTGGTCATTTATCCAGGCACACGTTGAATTAGGAATAAAAAACATATCCTTTTATTCTGATTCATGCGCAGGGCAAAATCGTAATCGTTTCGTATTCGCCATGTTTTCTTTAGCGGCGAAGAAATACAACATAAAAATAACACATAGGTTTTTGGAGAAAGGTTATAGCCAATCGGAGGGCGATTCTATGCATGCTGCTATTGAGCGTTCTAATAAAAAGCATACTATCTACACACCTGATCAAATGTATTCCTTGATAGAGAATGCCAAAGTTACCGGGCATAAGTATCAAGTAAAACAAATGACGCAAGCTGATTTCATAGATTTTAAAGAATTAATTAAAGGGAAGAATTGGTTAAAAGATACAGATGGTAATAAAATTTACTGGAGCAAAATTAAAGAAGTAGTTTTTCCTTATAATCAAGCTGATACAGTTTACTTTAGATACAGTTTTGAAGACGAATTACAAGAGATGCAAGCTATTACGAGGACTAACTCACGAAGGCGACGAGGGGAACCTATAGAACACGCTGAAAACCTAAAACTCGCATACACTGGAATGCTACCCATACCTCTTCCTTTATATAGAGATTTAATAAGTCTGTGTGACTCGGGAGCCATACCAAACCATTACCAGTGTTTTTACAGAAATCTAGTGCCATTAAATCCCACTTCAGTTACCAACGATAGTGACGCGGAGAATTATTAGTAACCACTTATTAGTTGTTTTCTGTTAGATTTTTCTTGTTTTTGTTTTAGTAATAATATACTTGATAAGTACCTACTTCGTTCTAAATTGAATAAATAAATAGTAATTATTCTTATTAACAATATTTTTATTGAACCTTCAACAAAAAAAAATAGCTAATTTACGTTATATACCATGCACTAATAAAGTCGTATTACATAAATATTGAGTCGATCTTGTTAACACAAATATACGGGCCTTTATCTTTACAAATATGTAAAAGCAACAAAATATACAAGAATAAGTGTGTAGATGACCAGAGCAAGGCTCAGGGAAAAAAATTATACGTGGAATAACCATGCAACATTTCACTACACTTGTTTAAACTTCATTTATGACACGAATAAACGTGCAGTGATACAATAATGTTAACAAGTCACATATTATTCACTAGAATAATAATTCAATACGGTTTTTCTTAAATAATGTAGTAAACCGATAATATTTCATTTATAATAAATATATGAGCTGAAAGATATCTTTTGTACCTTTAATTTGATCACACATTATATTTGTCTATTTATTATGTAATTAAAGTTATGTGATTCCAAACGTTTTTATATCTTCCTGAAAAGTTGTCGTTTTTCGATTGCACGTTTATTCGTTGGGGCCATCGATATATACTGCGCGTAGAAGCGGCCTATGTACTTGCACAAGAATACATTGTATATATTGAATTTTAAAGTCTGTCGGCAGTCTTTATGACTGCCTCTGCTTTTGTTTTTTTATGTGTGTTACCTCAGAACGTTTCTTTAGGTGAACCAATTTCTTCTTTTACTTAAAAGCTAATGCTTCTCATGTGGTCCCAGTTTGATTTATCCTTAATAATGCGTATTTAAGTTACTTCTAAGTGTAGGGCGTCTCCCCACGTCTTTTCTATACTAATTTGAGGACATTACACATGACAAACGGATGCGAGCCCGCTAGGTCGACTGATAACGCCTGAATAGACTTTCATTTAAGTACCCAAGATTGCTCTTGAAAGAACTGTATTATATAGTGTATCACATGTCGGTAAATTTACATGTCCGCCATGATCCGATTACATAAATGGGACTGCGCTAACGGATATAGGGTGACCATGATATTATTTTAAAAATTCAAAATTAAAACGATGGTTTATTTGTTTTATCTTTTAATTGCAACTATATATTTATTTTGTGCCAGTGATTTTCGAACTTGAGTCAAGTCTAGAGTCAAGGATATTTTTGGTCGACATTACCATTCCGTATGACGAGAACCTCGTGAAAGCCGAAACAGGTAAGCGAACAAAATATCTGGACCTGGCTCACGAGGTGACCGACATGTGGGGTGGACTGCCGGCCGAAATTATACCTGTAGTCGGTTCTGCGAACGAGCTATTTCCAGTCAGCCTATCGGGTCATCTGAGGCGACTGGGACTCCGTGACGGACCGTTCCAGACTCAAGTGCAGGAGGCGGTGCTCCTCGATACCGCCCGCATCGTACGCCGGTTTCTCTCCCTTTCCCCCTTACCCTTGGCTGTTTGGTCACCCCTGCCGAGGGCTTCCACCTGGTTGACTTTTTATTTATTAACGTATTCTTTATCTATTTATTTCACTATATTAATATATTTATATTTATGTATATTTATCATTTCCATTTATATATTTGTGCAGCCGAGCCAGGTGAGAAAACTATTTAAATACCCCACATAATAATACTGTCTTCCATATCGAAAGTCAGATCAGATTCGGTCACGGCGGCCAGCCTCAACGGAGACTAGCCATCGGCGCAGGACAGGATTATAGTGCACGAGTGTGTGCGCAAGCACAGGTGCACTCTCTATTCAGTCAATCTCATATTTACGACGGGACGGTACACTAAGACGACCGGAGAGAGATCAGGTGCAGGACCAACGGCTTAACGTGCTTTTCGAGGCAAGGGGGTGAGACACCGCCAACTTCCTGACTACTACTACTTCTGAGACTTTTTTGACGGAAAAACTCAATAACTGATATATTTGGCCCGACCCGGGATTCGAATCCGGGACCTCATGATCAGCAGTCGCGTTTACAACCACTAAACCAACGAGGCAGTCTAGTCGCTAGGTATAAGAACTTCTTAACTGTCGCCTTTTACAATGCGCACGGCCTTAAAGATCAAATTGACGAAGTCCGGACCTTCCTCACTGATCATCAGATAGATGATCGTTGAGGTAATTTTGCTAGTGCAGAGACCTTTCTTAAGCCTAGCCTTAGAGATCAAAAATAGCCAATTATAGACTAATTAGAAACGACCGTATAGGGGAAAAGTTTAGAGGGACTCTTATATATTATAAGTCGTACCTGCATGTAGTTCCCATTGACACGCCTCAATTAACTAATTTAGAGGCCTCCGTTTGCAGAGTAGCCATGACCGGTCATCAACCGATCACAGTAGCCTCTGTATATCTCTCACCCAACAGAAAGGTAATAAAAAGCGACTTCGAAGCTCTATTTAACCTTAGTGACTCGGTTATATTAGCTGGAGACTTAAATAGTAAGCATCAAGTTTGGGCTAATAATAGTAATGTTATTAACAATACTAGAGGCTATTACTTATTAGCTCTTAGTGATAGCCTGAAATTCGACATAATAGGTCCTCCGGCGGACACTAGATATTCAAAAAATCAGACTCATAGTTCGACCAAAATCGACTTAGCACTCTTCAGGAACGTAACCTTAACGTTACTCTCTATAGAAGTGGTGCATGAGTTAACATCGGACCACCGCCCGGTCCTAATGTCGGACAGTCCAGCAGTGAGGTTCTTCCAACCAAAACTGTGACGGACTGGCATAGGTTCGAGGCTAATCTCGAAACTATGAACTCAGAATACTTAGATCAGGTGCCAAACGTTATTGACACCGACTGCAGTCCCGAGGCACCCCGACCCCTAAGGCCACCTCTTTAGGTGGCCTTAGAGGTCGGGGTGCCTCGGGACTGCAGTCGGCGACGCGGTGCTTCATGCCGCCTCGCCGCCGGCAGAATCGTTGCACTCAATAGTTCGTAGGTCCTCAATTACGAGTCTAATTAGATCAAGCTGTCAAGGCCGCCGGGCCAACAGCGTAAACTTTCAGAAAAAAAAAACAAAGAGTTCGTCTGGGAACGCTATATGTTCTTTCACGCGGGTTTTTATAGATCTTTCCGTTTGTCCTATGTAAGAGAGACCACATTCACAAGCAAGTTTGTACACTCCTGCATCTTGAAGAGGGATATTACACTTGACGGATGGTAAAAATTGTCTAATCTTCTTAATACCACTGCAAGACTTCAAGATACTGTAAGCTCGTTCTGCGTAGATCGGACCAAAAATTAATATTCAAAAACTGAAGGTAGGCGGGCTAATTCATCCGGACATCAAACATTTCAATCATCCCGTGACTATGGGTGTTGTAAAGCACCTGAAACGTCGGGAATTAAAAAGTTAAAACTAAACGCGATAAAATCCGGAAAATTATTTTTATTTAATGTGTTGTTTCCTTGTAAATATAAGAGATGTTACAAAAACATATACAAATAAAATTATGATAATCGAGTAATATTTACAGGTTAAGTAGTTTTTATCCTGAAAAAAAAATCGAATGACATTGCCACATCACAAAAAGGGTTACAGACAATTTCGCTCTGCCTTAAGTTCAGGCTGTACGGAAGCTTCTCCCGCTCACAATTTCATTCTTTCTTTTTCTTAAAAACAACAATTGACCTTGGGTATTATGAGATGTATGATGCAAAACGATACGTCTTGAAATGTATGAAACCTGTCATTTAAATATTGCAAGATGCTTATCCGGGACCGGGAGTTACGTACCCGTGGCTGCATTGAGTTGAGTATGGTTTCAGCGTCACTTAAAATTTAGACTTAATATACATACAACTAAACTATAATAGCAACTTACACTCATAGTATTTTGATATAGAAAATAAAATTTTAGGTTAGAAAATAAAAAAACATTAAAAAATTATAATTTTCTGCCGACTTCCAAAAAGGAGACGCTACTCAATTCGACTGTTTGTTTTTTTTTGTTTTTTTTTTTTACTTATATTGAAGTCGGCTGTACAAAATTTTTTAGTTTAAATTATAAATTAAAAATTTTGTACAACCGAATTCTATCTATCTAATCCGAATATTGATTATTAAATATAACTCAAAAACTATTGGTTACACCTTAACCAAATTTATATGGGACCACACGAAAAGCACCAGCTTTTAAATAAAAAAAAATTATGGAAATCAGTTCACCCAGAAAAAAGTTATGAGGTAACACACATATAAAAAATACATACACTCGATTGAGTACCACCTCCTTTTTGAAGTCGGTAGAAAACAAATAACAGACCTAAAACCGATTGCATGAGTGATGTGATGCTGCAAAGGGCACTGACTCAACATAATGCTATCGCACGGTTGCAGTAGCGTTGGTTTCAGCAATGCCCATTGAGGTTAGACTCAGCTGCGAAGATAATGTGTAATAATAATAAAATTAATTGTTTCTCACATAACTTATACAAACACTCTGTAGCCCGTGATAGTTGAAAACTGTGTTAATTTAATTAAATATTATTAATAAAATAAAATGTGTGTGTGTGTGTGTGTATGTGTGGATGTACAAGCGTCGTATTGCATGCATTAAGCGCAAAGCGCGTAGGTATGTCCTACTAGCGCCTAAAAATCAAGATTCCATCGTTTTGTCGCATAAAATCGTATCTAACAATCATATTGAACATATAATTTATATAAAAAGCACATTGTCCGAAAGATAAATGGTTGTTGAACTTATTATTATATAGGTATTATTATACTCTCGATTTACTAGTGTACTCTATATTTTAATGTTCGAGTAAGATGTTATCAAAATAAATAAATTAAATAATGGAAATGCTAAAGAATTTATGTAGTCTTCTGTCTATCTTTCTTTGTTAGAAAGAATTAAGCTAAGTCAGTGCGAGTTACTATCTTTAGCTGCATCACCACTTACCTTCAGGTGAGATATTATAGTAATCAAGAACGTATTTACATGGTAGAGCCATGCTGCAGCTATATTAGTAGTATAGTTGTAGCACGAATGGGTCGGCTCGA